CCATCGAGCCTTCTCCAGCGTGCACCTCGGAGCTCTTCTAGCCTCTGCTGCTTTCCCTGTCCCAAAGCCGAGTCCACATTTCTAGGGGTTTGTGATAGCAGCACTCTGCTCTTGGTAGCAACATCTGTACGGTTCAGAGTTTTTTGGAGAAATTGAACGAATAGGAAAGGCTCGTATATTCAGAGAGAGAGAGTGACAGAGACGGAGCCAGAGAGACAGAGATTCATTACCCGGGATCGGTGAGAGCAGTTACAGAGGCTCTTTCTTGTCTGGAGCCGGAGGCCCAGCAAAGCTGGTGGTGTGATTCCAGCCCCAGTCGAGGGCTTGAGCACCAGGGGCCACCAGCGCAGCCGCAGGGCAGGGCTGAAGGCCTGAGAGCCGGGAGCACGGGCGGTGGGTGTTCCAGCGCGAGCCGATCTCCCTCTGCCTTCTGTTCTGTTCAGGCCCCGTCACCAGCCAGCTTTGTGTTACTGCAGTGAAGTGCTTGACATAAACCACTAATGGAGAACAGACAGGCTTGTTTAGCTCACAGTTTTGGAGGTTCAGGGGCACGGCACCCCCACCAGCCCTGTTCTGGTGAGAACCTCCTGGTAGATGGCAGATGGTGGTTGGCAAAGGCAGGAGTGTGTGTGTGGGGGGGACAGGCAGGCACATTTGGAACTGGGAGCAGAGAGAGAACAAGGGCTCATCCCAGTGTAGCCAAGGACCTCCACTGGGCCCCACCTCCTACAGTCCCACACCCCGGGGACCCAGCCTCCCATTACAGTCAAGCCATACCCAGGCCATCGCCAGCCTTCACTGGCATAGCACAGTTATCCCCACTGGTGACGATGGATTGTTTCTTAGACCTGCCAATTTGAATGCTGAGCTCTGCCTTCTCCCTCACAGACACACCCAGAAATAGCGGCTCTGTCTATCAACTCTCTGGGCGTCCTTTGGTCCAGGGAAGTTGATGTATAAAAGCAGCCATCCATTCTCCAAAGTGTGCAATGGAAACGTGCTCAGCTGCCCCAGCCATGTGGGGAATGCACGTCAAAGCCACGGTGGGTTCCACTTCACACCTGTAATACACCCGATGACTGTTGTAATGAAAGGGACGAGGACAGTAACGACTTTGATGAGGCTGTGGGAAGTTGGAACCTTCAGTACGTTGCTGGTGCGGACGGAGAGCAGCACAGCCACTCTGAAGGATGGTTGGGCTGTGGCTCAGGAAGTGGAACCTAAACTTAGCACGTGACACAGTGGTCCCACTCCCGCACCCGAGAGAATGGAGAACGCACGTTCACTCGGACACTTGTGCATGAATGTTCATAGCAATCTCACTTAGGCAGCGGGGAGTTAGAGGCAAGCCAAAGGTTTATCAGGTCACAAATGGTGTAATAAACTATGTTTTCTCCATCTAATACTCAGCCAGGAAACCAGATGAAGTCCTGGTTCATGCCATGGGTGAACCTTGCAAGTGCTATGCTGAACGTGAGAAGCCAGACACAAAAGGCCAGATGGTTCCGTTTATGCGAAATGTCCAGAACAGGCAAATCTACAGAGACAGAGGGCTCGAGGTTACCAAGGGCGGGCAGTGGGGTGGGGGAGGGATGCAGGCAGGAGAGGGGAGAAGGAGAATCATGTCTCAAAACCTATACAAATAAGTTGACAAATTAAGAGTCATCTGCTACAGCCATGTACGTCTGCAGTTTGGGGTTTTGTTTCCCCTCTGTGGTCCTATAATAAAAGTGTAAAATGCCAAGAATTGAGGTGTGGAACAGCAGGTCTCTCTGCCAGGGTATAAAGATCAGTTACCCAGAAACCACCTGGATGTTCTTGGCCTGCGCCCGGGAGCAGCGCTGCACCCCGCAGCAAGTGCTTCGGTGTGGACGTGGCCATCTGCAGCCGTTGCTGCTCACTGGAGGTGGACCGTCGTTTGGAGCAGTACAGTGCACTAACGCGATGTCCTAGTAACCCCCACCGCTGCAGCCGCCACGGACTCACGGCGCTCCCTCTGCTCTGAGACATCGGGCTTTCTTTTTCCGATCATATTTTACCGTCTTTGGAGTCTCAGTTTGACAGTGTCTAGGAGTTGATGAAATGTGGCAGTTGTAGTGTGTGTTTTCCTTAAATGCTCTCCAGAGCCGTTAGCCGTCTGCGCTCTTCCCTCGAGGGCTGTTGATGTTAATCTCTCATTGCGGGCTGTCCCCGGGGCTGTGTTTACTTGGAGGTTTTCTGAAACCTGGTTGCTGACGGATCTCCTGCTTGCACGCCAGCGTGCCCAGGGGTTAAACTCAGCCTCCCGACAGCACCCCTGTGTTCCTGGGTTGTGTTAGGAACCTCAGCCTGCCAGTGTTCCCTCGGGGAGGCGGGCAGTGTCCTGGCCCAGTCTCCTTTGAGGAGTAAGTGGAATCTCCCAGGAATCCGGCATCTTGCAACACTGTTTCCAGGTTGCTCCTTTCCATTTGAGACATTGAGTATAATGTTTATATTAGCATCAGCATTTATATTAAAGAGCATAGTTTACCAGTTTTTTAAAATTGCTGCAGCCTTTCTAACTACACTAAGATAGCCTGTAATACAGCAAAGTTCAAGTTGTACCCTAGCGTCGACTGTAAGGCCTTCCTGAGTGCAGAGTGGAAGATGTTAATCTGTAGTTTACTTTTTAGCCCTAAACACAGAGCAAAGCTGGTCATTACAAATGCAGGGATGGGTGTTTTACACAACAGTTAAGCCACTGCCTGGGGAGCCCACATCCCGTATCGGAGTACCTGGTTCAAGTCCTGGCTTCTCCACTTCCGATCCACCCTGGGAAGCAGCAGGTGACAATGCACATACTTGGTTTCCTGCCACACACCTGGGAGACCTGGATTGAGTTCTGGGCTCCTGCTGTCGGGTTGCCCCAACCCTGCTGTGGTGGACATTTGGGGAGTGAACCAGTGGATGGGAAATTTCTATGTATGTGTGCCTCTCTCTTTCTGTCTGCCTTTCCAAAAATTTATAAAATGTTTAACTTTTGAAAAATTCTCTCTGTCAAAATGAAATCTTTAACGTTAGACTTTGTACCAAATTGTTCATTAATGAATTATGGATACTCCCTTCCCCTTGTTAGAACTAAAACAGATTTGTGATGTTCGAATGCTTTAATTTTGAATTATTTGCTACAAACGAAGGAGTAAGTTGAGATTAATGGCAATTCAGTGTCATAGCAAGAATGTGAAGTCAAGAGATAAGAGACTTGGTTTTGAAACTCCATTCCATCATTTGCCCTTTGTGACCTTGACCCAGGCAAGTCCTTGACTCCTCAGAGCCTCAGTCCCTTGTTTATGGAAAGAGACCAGCAAGGCAGTTGACACATCTTGACATGACACAAACGGTGGTGTGCAGAAAGCAGCTCCTGCTGGGTAACCAGCAGCCACTTCCTGTTGGCCACGCAAGGGCCTGAGCAGGGTCAGCCACGTACTTCCCGGGTCGCAGCGGTCTTGATCTTACAGCGCCCCCCAGTGTGCCAGCAATCACAGTAACCGCGAGCTTACGTGGGCTTTCATCCTGAAAAGGGAGGCTTAACCAGCTTACCATGGAGGAGAGTGGTGGGACAAGGGTTTGGCTTAGCTGTGAGGACCCGGCCTGGGGAGCCTGGGTCCCATAGCAGAGTGCGGGGTTAGGGTCCTGGTTGCACTCCCGGTTCCAGCTTCCTGTAAGTGCACACCTGGGGGGCACTGGTAATAGCTCAAGTCGTTGAGTGCCCAGCCATCCATAGGTGAGCCCCAAACTGAGTTTTCTGTTCCTTTGGGCTTTGGGACAGTGGACCAGTGCATGGGAACTCTGTCTCTCTGCCTCTCAAGTAGATAAATAAATAAAAATGTTTAAGAAAGAAAAGTGGTGTGCATTATAGATACAAAATCTAGCAAACTAATAACCACAACTTATTTGACCTTGTGTAATTACTTAATTGTTCTATGCTTCATTTTTTTAAATTATTTACTTATTTGAGAGACAGAGAGAGAATACAGAAAGAGACAGCTCCCACCCACTGGTTCACTCCCCGAATGCACACAGCAGCTGGGGCTGGGCCAGGCTGAGGGCAGGAGCCAGGAACTCCCCCCGGAGGGCACACACCGTGAGTGGTCACTGCCGCCTGTCAGGGTGTGCAGCAACGGGAAGCTGGAGTCGGCAGTGGGGCTGGGACTGCACTCGGCAACGGCCGCAGCCGTCTTGACTGCTGGGCGCCCGCCCCCGGTCTCATCCTTGATACGGGAGGATTGGACAGGGTGGTCTAGGAGGTGACCATGTGTTCTTAGGCACAAACGTTCTCGGGTCCTGGGAAGACAGAGCGAGCCTCTCGTGCCACAGGAACAACCATGCATTTGTCAAAGCGGGCTGTAAACATTGCCGGAGTGTTCCACGATTTGTTCAGGACGCCTGTGGGACGTGAGGAAAGAAGTGAAGGTTAGGTCTTAGCACTGGAAGGTGGCCCATCATACCCAGCCAGGCCCCTAAAGGGCCCACGTTAACGCAGTTCTGGAAGCACGGTTCTTCTGCTGAAACAGCTGTGTCGCTGTGGAAGACCCCCTGGCCCGCTGAGAGACTCTAGCGTGTAAGGTGGCTGCCAGGGCGGTGCAGCCCCCAGCCAGATGGCGAGGGTCTTTCTCATGGGAAGGAGACACAGAGAAGCCGGTGCTGCTGCCGCGGGATGCACCTTGAGGCCCATCTTGCAGCCTGCTGTGGTCCTGTACTTTTACTTGGTGTGTGTGGGGACCTGGTGCTTGTCTGTGGGAGCAGTGACCAGACTTGAACCCAGGTCTTACTCTGCTCCTGAAGGAAGAAGAGATGATCCCTGTGGGGGGGGGGGGATAGAGAGAGAGAGGGAGGGAAAGAGAGATATAGGGGGGAGGGAGGGAGGGATAGATATAGGGAGGGAGGGAAGGAGGGAGAGAGAGAGGGAGGGAGGGAGGGAGAGAGGGAGGGAAGGAGAGATATAGGGGGGAGGGAGGGAGGGGGAGAGAGAGAGAGAGAGAGGCAAATTGGGAAAAGGCACTGCCTCGGGGGCCTGTTGGCTATTGCCATTGGAAGGCTCCTGGCTGGGAGGCGGAGCCGTATTGAAATGCTCACTGCTGTGGCTTGGTCGGGGCCCCTCATTCTCCTCCTTGGCTGTCACCAGCACCTCTGCACCTGGTAGTGATGAGGCCCCAAGGCCAGCGAGGTATCAGTGCGCTCGGCGGCTCGGGAGCGAGGCTGCCCCGCGCCAGGAGCCCAGGTTTCTCGTCAGTCACAGCGCGCTCTTGTCAGCGGCGGGCGGGGCAGGGCCTGGCGGCCTCCGCGCAGATGGGGCAGCTCTGCGGGCCATTCTGTCTTTGCAGCTTCCTGTGCGAGGGTATGGTTTTCATCAGCCTCTGTGCCGTGCCGTAGACAGCACCGACTTTGTAAGATCGGGTTTGCTCTGCAGCCAGAAGGAAACAGCGAGACATTTCTGTGTATGCGAGGTGCCTGTAGGAAGGCCAGGGAGGGCGTGGGCAGCCACCCAGAGGTCCCAGTGGGGTGCTCTCGCTGTGACGGGGCGGGGGAGTCCAGGCTGGGAGGAGCACCTTTCCCACGCTCAGACTCCATTAAATCCAGCGGAGAAATGAGCCTCGTCGCTGGAAACGGCTTTCTCTCCTGGTTGGCACAGCCCCTGCCCGGCATGGCCACCTTGCCTGCTGTGTCCACGAGTCCTTCCACAGAAGAAAGTCGTGTCTCTGTCTTGTCTCCTCCCCCCCGATCTCCTTCCCGGGGACAGTCCCAAAGCAGTGCACAGGGCCAGCAGTGTTCGGGGTGCTTGGTGTACGTGCTGCCAGAGGGTCCTCCCTGTGAGGGTTAACATGGCTCTGATCAATAAGAGAGGCCTCATCCACCCTGGCAGGCCACAAAATCAGCTCTGGCCAAGCCTGGAAAGCGGGTAAGTTTCCCAGCTTCACGCGTTCCCAGAGGGAGAATAGCACATGTGTGTGTCGTGTGTGTGGAATGGAAACAGAAGGGTACCTTCCTTTGCGGAACTCCTAGGTGAAAATGGAGATGGGACTCCCAGAGGGGTGGTGGGCACACAGCCTACTCCACAGCCTTCAGGTCGCCGTTTCTTACAGTGGGAATAATTGGCAAGTGGAGGGCGAGTCGGCTGGGACAATGGCATTCGTGTGAGGATGCGGGGAGAATGTGTAAGACGTCAGAAACGAAAAGTCCCCCTGAGGCTTTCCGAGGGAAAGTCCGACCCTGGAAGTTGAAGTGTGATTCGCATGGAGCTTCTGAAGCAGACGCTCCCTGTGCCCGCACCCTGGTTCCAGGAAGTGCAGCCTGTTCTGCCATCCCTGACGGAATAGCCTGGCAGGGGCCGTCGCGGGCCAGGCTCTGCCATGAAGCCGTCAACAGGGACAGTGATCGCCACCGCAGAAGTCAGTTTTCCCTCCTGTCTGTCTGAGTATTAGTAGAAGGGCGGCCACGCCTGAGTGGACATGGCTGAGCACATCCTGTGCTGCAGAGGCTGTGTGAGATGTCCCACAGTGGACCTCCAGACAGTGGCACACCCCATGCTGTACACCGTGTGAGGTGTACACAACTCCTGACAGTGGTACACCCATGCTGTACACCGTGTGAGGTGTACACAACCCCTGACAGTGGCACACCCATGCTGTACACCGTGTGAGGTGTACACAACTCCTGACAGTGGCACACACCTATGCTGTACACTGTGTGAGGTGTACACAACTCCTGACAGTGGCACACACCTATGCTGTACACCGTGTGAGGTGTACACAACTCCTGACAGTGGCACACACCTATGCTGTACACCGTGTGAGGTGTACACAACTCCTGACAGTGGCACACACCTATGCTGTATACCATGTGAGGTGTGCACAACTGCTGACAGTGGCACACACCTATGCTGTACACTGTGTGAGGTGTAACAACTCCTGACAGTGGCACACACCTATGCTGTACACTGTGTGAGGTGTACACAACTACAGACAGTGGCACACGTCCCATGCTGTATACTGTGTGAGGCGTACACAACTCCTGACAGTGGCACACGTCCCATGCTGTACACCGTGTGAGGTATCCCAGGACTCCGGTCAGTGGTACACTTCCCATGCTGTACACCATGTGAGGTATACACGACCTCCAGACAGTGACACACATCCTATGCTGTAGATGCTTTGTAAGATGTACCAGGACTCCAGGCAGTGGTACACACCCCATGCTGTACACTGTGTGAGGTGTACACAACTCCAGGCAGTGGTACACACCCCATGCTGTACACTGTGTGAGGTGTACACAACTCCTGACAGTGGCACACGTCCCATGCTGTACACTGTGTGAGGTGTACACAACTCCAGGCAGTGGTACACACCCCATGCTGTACACTGTGTGAGGTGTACACAACTCCAGACAGTGGTACACATCCCATGCTGTACACTGTGTGAGGTGTACACAACTCCAGACAGTGGTACACATCCCATGCTGTACACTGTGTGAGGTGTACACAACTCCAGACAGTGGCACACACTCCAGGCTATACATCATGTGAGGTGTCCCAGGACTCCAGACAGTGGTACAAAATCATGGCAGTGGAGTTCCTACTAGAGAGAGAAGAAGGAAGAGTTTCTAAGAAGAATCAGTAACCTACCTAAACTAGATCAAGTAAAAATGGGGTTGATTATAAGGAAAAATGGCAACATTGTCCAACCCAGATGCAGGAAGTCCAGTGAAGCTTAAACAGAGCTACGCCGTCCTCAATGTCCAGTCTCCTTAGGTGGTCATACGCCGTCTCTCAGTGTCCAGTCTCCTTAGGTGGTCTTACGCCGTCCTCAATGTCCAGTCTCCTTAGGTGGTCATACGCCGTCTCTCAGTGTCCAGTCTCCTTAAGTGGTCTTCTGTTTGGAGCAGTGGAAATCTCATCTAGTGTGAACTCTGAATGGTTAGCTTACATAATTGATATGACTTTTTGAGTTTTATACAACCAGTATTTTTTAAATACCAAAGTAATTTGAGCAAAGTAGAAGTAATATGGTTGGCAGTTGGCTCCTGCTCACCCTCCCACTGGGCCTGCAGCTGTCAGTGTGTTCTGGATCCTTCTGTAGTCACGTGAACCTTTATATGCACATATAGGCCTTGGTATTTTGTTGTTTAATTTTGCTTTTAAAACATGATACTTATTTATCACTTTAGTTACCTAAAAGATGGAGGCCATCCCTCCGCAAACAGATGTGGATCTAACTCATTCTTTAAAAACAAAAGGATTTATGTATTTATTTACTTATTCATTCATTTATTTGAAAGGCAGAGCCTCAGAGAAGAGAGAGAGAGAGAGAGAGAGAGAGAGAGGGAGGGAGAGAGGGAGGTCGGTCGGTCGGTCTTCTATATACTGGTCCACTCTGCAAATGGCTGAAATAGCCAGAGCTTGGCCAGGCCAAAGCTGGAAGCCAGGAGCTCCATCCTTGTCTCCCACATGAGTGGCAGGGGCTCAAGTACTTGAGCCATTATCTGCTGTCTTCCAAAGTACATAAGCAGAAAGCTGGATCAGAAGTGGAACAGGGGCTGGTGCTGTGGCGTAGTGGGTAAAGCCGCTGCCTGCAGTGCCGGCATCCCATAAGGGTGCTGGTTTGAGTCCCGGCTGCTCCACTTCTGACTCAGCTCCCTGCTGTGGCCTGGGAAAGCAGTGGAAGATGGCCCAAGTCTTTGGGCCCCTGCACCCACGTGGGAGACCCAGAGGAAGCTCCTGGCTCCTGGCTTCGGGTCAGCACAGCTCCAGCCGTTGCAGCCAGTTGGGGAGTGAACCATCAGATGGAAGAACACACACTCTCTCTCTCTCTCTCTTTCTGCATCTCCTTCTCTCTATGTAACTCTGAATTTCAAATAAATAAATAAATCTTAAAAAAAAAAAAAGCGGAACAGCTGGGACTTGAACTTGCACTCCAGTATAGGACGTCTGCATGACAAGCAACAGCTCAACCTGCTGCACCACAATGTCGGCCCCTTTCGTTCGTAAAAATATTACAACGGATTCCATTGTCTGTGTTTCAAAGGAGGTACATTTTGACATCTCTAAAAGTGACTTAAACTCTCTTAGAAACGTCTTCATTCAATAACAGTCTAAGTAAGAGCAGTCAAGGGTTGCGTGCTCAGTGTTTGAGAGACCTGGGCTCCATGGGCTTCACTGATCTGCTGTTCCTGGGGTGTCAGGTTCATCTGCACGTCCAGGATGGTTCACTACTACTTCACATTCTAGGCAGTGGGGCAGGGGCAGAGGCAGGGGCAGGTGCAGGGGCAAGTTAGCAACAGCCTTCCTTCTCCCATGTTCCAGCATCTCATCACAGGCCCATCCTCCTTAGTGACAGGGCCTCCAGTTGACGCCTTTGTTCTTGGTGCTACAAACAGTGGTAGAGGAGCACTCCTGTACAGAGGTCTTAGGTGCTGGTACTGAGAGTGCAGGGTCCCCCGGAGTGCAGTTGCTCTAAACCTGCATTTATTTTACATACCATAAACTGAAACCCTCAAATAAAAATTTAAAATTTTGTAGTTGGATTCATAGTTTAGTTGATAAAGATCTTTAGCTATGTTTCATGCCATGTTGACCATCACCATACTAATTCAGCCATGTTTGGAAAGTTACTTAAATATTTTATTTCATTTTTATTTATACAAATTAGTGGACAATAGAAAAATCAAAGGTTTGCCATCAGTGAGATCATTCCTGAAATTTATGACATTCTCAGAGCAGGGAGTTGTGTCTGCTTTGTTCCCTGCGTTATTGCTGGCACCTAGAAAAGTATGAAGCAGGGTAGGCTCGCGCGGTACGTCGGCTGAGTCAGTGAGCGGTGAATTTTCATTGAGACAAATGGAAATGCTTGGAAGCACTAAGAATAGGAGATCTTTATCGACGTTAGGCACTGCCCTCAAAGTGATTCGTTCATTTGTTAAAGAAAAGAAGAAAATAAAATTGCAAGTATATGAAATCCTGGAAAGAAACTACTTAAGATTTCACAAAGACGTTGCAGTTGAGAGGCTTCAAGCTATAGACTGAAAATATCAGCAAAAACCACACTTTCAGATGCCAAAGTGAGTTCATGGAATCATTGCTTTTTGGTTCTCCTCTCAACTCCTCTTTTAGAAATTAAAAAAAAAAATACTTGAAAAAGCTAGAGACAAGGAGAGAGAGAGAGAGAGAGAGAGAGAGAGAGAGAGAGAGATGCTGTGAGATCTTCCATCTGCTGGTTCTCTCCACAGACACCCACAACAGCTGGGGCTGGGCCAGTACTGGGATGGCAGAGAACCAAGTACGACTTGACCATCACCTGCTGCCTCCTAGAGTGGGCATTAGCAGGAAACTGGTCTCAGACAGAAGCCGAGCTGGGGCTCCATCTGAGGGCCTCTGCATGGGATACGGGCATCCCAAGTGTTGGCTTCACCACTGTGTCAAACAGTCGTCCGTATCATAACTCCTTTTCCAGGAAGAGAAAATAGCTCAGCATTTTCATGGCAAAATGTTTGATGTTAAGATCAGCAGAGAGGCTGGTGCTGTGGCGTAGAGGGCTAAGCCTCCACCTGCGGTGCGGCATCCCATATGGGCGCCGGTTTGTGTCCCAGCTGCTCCTCTTCCGATCCAGCTCTCTGCTGTAGACTGAGAGAGCAGTGGAAGATGGCCCAAGCGCTTGGGCCTCTGCACCCGCATGGGAGACCTGGAGGAAGCTCCTTGCTTTTGATCGAATGGAAGTCCCCCCCACCCCCCGCCTTCTCTCAATGAATACAGTAAATCTAAAAAAAAAAAAAATGATCAGCAGAGCTAGCACCACACTGCGTCAGCAAGCCCTGGTTTGTGCTGTTGAGTCTCTTTTGTTAGTCTGCACCCGTTTCATTCTTGGAGCTCTTCCTCTCCTTGAGGCCTGCCCCAGGTCACCGTGGTGTCCCCCTGCTCCCGCCCCAGGTCACCGTGGTGTCCCCCTGCTCCCGCCCCAGGTCACCGTGGTGTCCCCCTGCTCCCACCCCAGGTCACCGTGGTGTCCCCCGCTCCTGCCCCAGGTCACCGTGGTGTCCCCCGCTCCTGCCCCAGGTCACCGTGGTGTCCCCCGCTCCTGCCCCAGCGCTGCCATGCAGGGAATGCCCCATGGATGTTGACTGGAAGCAGGAGTGAGTGCTGGCGATCAGATGTACGTCCTTACGTTTAATGTTTATGTTGGTCTCCTACAGGCAGCCACTAGTAGGAACTCAGCCTAGCCCAACGTAATGAAGAAGGTGGGTTTAGTTAGGGAGACGCCACTGACTCAGAGGCCAGGCATCCCTGGATGGCTTGGGGGCCAAAACCAGGGCCTGGCTTGCTTCTCTCTGCCTCTTGTCTTGGCCCCTCGCTGTGTGTGAGTGAGTACCTATTGCACAAGAGGTTTGGTTTACCTGTCTGAGATCCTGGGCTTATATCCAAACAATCCATCCATCAAAGCAGAAATGGGGTCCTACCAGCTCCAGTTAGAAAGCTGTCGGCTCTGGCCCCTGGGAGTGGGGTCTGTCACAGAGGAATGAGGGGTGGTGTGCGACTGAAATACTGCACATAAAACGACAGTCTTTTTTTGCCTTTAGTATTTTAAGTAATTGTGTACAAATTATATTACTATCTGATACCAAAAAAAAGCAATTTTAATATAACTAAATATTTCATAATAGCTAAATATTTTTAGCTATGTGGAAATAGAATCCCCCTTTTAGAACATAATTTTTTTAAAAGATTGATTTGTTTCTTCTAAAGGCAGAGTTAAGGAGAGACAGAGACAGAACTCTTCCATTCACTGGTTCACTTCCCAAATGGCTTCCATGGCCAGGGCTGTGCCAGGTCAAAGCCAGGAGCCAAGAACTCCGTATGGCTCACCCACATCGGTGTTAAGGGCCCAAACACTTGGACTGTCTTCTGCCGCTTTCCCAGGCATGTTAGCAGGGAGCTGGATCAGAAGCGGAGCAGCTGATACTTGAACCATGTGGGAGTGCGTGGTGTAGGCAGCAGCTTAACCCTCCATACCACAATGCCAGCTTCTCGAGCATAATTCTTAGCCTTAAGTTGCAATTTTCCTTTCTTACATGTTTGTAAGCATGATTTTTCTACAAAAGAAGAAAAATACCACAGTCATTGGAATAGTGATAAAAGCACTGTATCTGAAAATCCTTACCTTGTCTATACTTTCACTCTGTTGTTAACTTTGAGAAACTGTTACACCTTAAGCCTCAGGATTTTTTTGTTGGCTCTTACAAAACCAATAAATGGGTGGGATTAAAGCCAATATTTATTTCATGGGTGATTGTGAAGATCAAGAAAGAAAATGGATGTGAGAAAGTCTGTTCATGCAGAGTGTCCCTCACCGTGTCCTCTGTGTGTTTCTGGAGTGATGTGCTCAATCCCCAGGCCCGTGGACAGCCCCCCTCCCGTGAACGCACAGCCACTGCGCACTGGTGCCTGTGTCAGTCGCCGTGCAGGTCATGTCTGAGTGACAGACACCTGAGCGTGACTCTGCCTCAGTAGAATGGCGTTCACTTCCCTCCGGAGGAAAGCCAGTGCCCCAGGTACGGCAGCACCATGACCACAGGCACCCAGGCACCTGCTCATTGGCGGCTCCGCTCTACGAGGCCTGTGGCTTTGCTCTCATCAACCAAAATGACAGCTCCGGCCCCAGGTTGTAATGCCAGCACTCAAACCACCAGAAAGGCTGAGGGAAGGAGGGGGTGGAAGAAGGGCACGCTGCCGACCTTGAAGAACACTTCCTGGCTGTTGAACTTGACACCTCTGCCTACCCCTCAGTAACCACGTCCCAGACACGTGGCTCACCCAGTGGCAGGAGCAGCTACGGAGCATTTTCTGGAGGTCCCATTACTGAGCAAGAAGGCGGGGTGCACACTGGGAGAATCTTGTGTGGCTGCGGTTCTGAGTACCAGGGACTTCGCTGTGGAAGGAGGAATTAAAGGCCCAGTTTATTTTCACACAAACATTTAAGTCTGCAGTTTTTTCATAGTACTCATTGCTATGAACTTTTGGAAGACCCCTTGTATTTTTTATAAAAAATAATTTAGATATCAGAATCTTAAGGAAGTATTATGATTATAAACATTTAAAAAAGTTCCAAAGGGAATCATTTTGTTATATAATTCACAAGATAAAAAGTATCCTGCTACATTATCTTCTGTCTGTGTTGTGATTGGGAGGCTTGTAAATACCCAGCCAGTTAGGAGGCACAGATCGGTGTCGTGTACACAGCATCATAATTGGGTAGTGATCGTTTATTTAATTTGCCCCTTTGAACCAACCACTTCGTACGTCATAAGTCACTGGCTTCCTTTTCATGTATACTGCTTGTAATCTATTGCTTAGAAAATTCTTAAACAATTAAAAACTTAACTACACTCTGTTTACATCTCATCATTTCGGATAGTAATCAAGATTCTTTTTGAAAGAAATAATTGACTCCTGCTCTTTGTAATTAATTTCTAATTAATAAGCCCAGTCAACATCATTTTTTGGTTTAATTGGATTTTTTGCTTTTAATGCTTTTTCTTTGTTCATGTCCTCTAATCCTTTTATTTTTAAGTTTTATTTTTATATTTTAAATAACACATGTTGAGTAACACATAAAATGTCAAAAATTCTAATTTAATGCATTTATAAAATAAACAACTGATAATACCAACTCCAAAAAAGTAAGCCATTTTTAGACATTTTGATGGCTTTATTTTTGTTTTTATTGTGCATGGTCTTTGCTTATGCAGAAATGTGTAGCTATAAATGATTGGGTTATTTACTTTAATGTCTACCAAGAAGTTTCCCTCCCCAGGAAAAAAGCCAGATGTCAACACCGCAGCACGCGACCCCCACCCCCAGCAAACGGTCTCACTAATCTAATTGTCAAAGTAAAACTATTTCAAGACTTCTTAGAGGATTGAAAACAGTTAATTACGCAGCCGTGCACATCAGTACTGGTGGACACAAAGCTGCATATGTTTATCGTTAGCGTGGAAAGGGAGGTCACAAAGCGAGTACGCCGGCTGTGTCGGGAGGAAAGCAGTTCGCGGCCCCGTGCGCCCGCTAGCCCACTGCTGCGGGCAGCTGGCTCTGAGAGACGGGACCGAGGGTGCTCTTCTGTGTCCTGTGTGTTTTTCTGGGATCGTGTTGTGTTACTGTTGTTACTGTGGGGAAAACTCATGCGCAAGCTGTTTCCATTTTGGAGAAAAACGATAAAAAAGCCGACCGACAACTGTAGCACTTCTTCTACTACACAGCCCTGTCCTCAAAAAATAAAGCAGCCCCTTAGGTAAATGTGCGCTTCAGGGCTCAGCCCCGCGCTGGCGCTGGGGAGGCGGGCGCTCGGGAAGCTGGAGCCACCGCCGTCCCGTTGATGAAGCGCTGCGTGGGCGCCGTGCTGGGCTGAGCGGCGGGGCCGTGCTGAATTGCAATCAGACGGGAAAATGCAGTCACTGTGCGTGAGGTTCAGGCTCCCGGAGACCCTGCCCGTGTTAATGAGCATGTGTGTGCGCTCCTCATCCTGAGGTGTGAGGTCAACAGACGACTGCTGGGCGGATCACTGGAGCTTTTGTGCACTGTGCGAGCAGGAATAAGCCGGCTATTTAACCCAAGCCTGGGCAGTGCCCAGCGGCTCCTTCAGCTGAGTCTGAGCCTTGCCAGTAAAGGCTCTGTGTGCGCTTCTCTGGGCGCAGAGAGCCAGCCAGTGACTGTACCCGGGGAGCGCGCCACACGGTGTCCCTGCTTCCTGTCCTGCGGGCCTCGCTCCAGAGACACACTGTAGTCCCACTCCAGGTGGGGAGAACGCGCTGCCAGACCCATTCATCACCCCGCGGGCCCTGCACATCCGTCTGGGAAGAGCTGGTCCGCTCTCCTGCCGTGCCAACACTAGTTATCTTGTATAAAGCTGCAAAGAGAGTATCCAGTGTTCCCAGCCTACAAAGTGCCATTCTGTAAAGATGTGCAAGCCAGTGAGCCGGGGGAGGAGGTGCTTGCCGTCCACACATCGTATCGAGCGTCCAGACCTGGGAGACACTGGTTAAACAGAGTTCACCTGCCCGTAAAGTGCAATGGCATGCCATCTTTAAAAATAATGTTGAAGAAAAGAAAGTGCAAAGGAGGCCACGATATTCCATGTTACGGGTAATTATCATCCACTTAGCCGAATATTGTCTCAGTGTTGTTTTGAAAAATTAAAAACATATACACAGGAAAAAGTATTGAAAGATGTGAGCCAAAAGACTCCCTGTGGTTACCTTTTAGGAAGAGGATTAAGCTTGAATTTCCTCTCTTCCCCCACCTCCCTCCCTCTCTTCTTCTTCCTCCCTTCTTCCCCTTTCTCCCTCTGAGTCTCTCCCCAGCCCTTCCTCTTATTAATTATATCTCCTGCTTCCAAATTAAACTAAGTATGAATTCACTTAAAATAAGCTAGTGAGTGCCAGTACGTATCCAACATGGAAACTTCGCCGGTCTCTTTGAAGGGTGAAGGGTGTGGCTGTGACAAGTGTCTTGGAGGAAGGCTGGACGGCGAGTGGGGACCTGGGGCGTGAGGGCCGACTTCCCCGCGGGAACAGCACCCCGGGGAAACCTGAGGGATGAGCTGCCGCGCGGGGCAGCGGCACGCACAGGTGCTCCGGTAGAGGGGCAGCATGTGCCAAGGCTCTGGCTGAGGGTGTGGTTTGGATGGGGCTGCCATGTCACGGAGAGAAGCCTTCAGGGCCCAAAC